ATGTCCTATTCTGACTAACAGAAAAGGGTACACATATTTTTAGGACTTTTAATATATATTGCCTCAAATTGCCTTCCAGCAAGGTGATTCCAAATTATATTCCCACCAGCAATGTGTGAGAATGTACTACTCCGCCTTTAATCCTGGTGTTACCGTGGGGGCTGGGGGCTAGTTTTGGTATGCATTGTTTGATTCAAGTGTGACCCTCACTAACAAAAATATTGATTGGACAATATTCTTTTGTAATTTACCTATTCATCTCCTCTGACCACTTTTCTCATAAGATGTGTAGCTGTCTCTTATTTCTAAGAAGTTCTTCCTTTCCCCATAAATACCTTAAAAAAAATTATGTATCGCTTTTTAAAATGTTTAGACATTTAAACATCTTTTTTTCTTTTTATCCAAATCTATCTTTTCCTTCATGCCTGCTACCTTTGCTGGCTTATGAAGATCTTTTGGATTCTAATTCCAGTATTGTATAAATAGTCACCGGGATTTTATCCTTACACTTTGTTTTTCAGCAGTTAAATCTATGGTGAGTGGGGGTTGGGTGAAAGAGTCGAAGGGGATTAAGAGCACACGTACCATGATGAGCACTGGGTGAGATGTAGGATTGTTTGACCACTCTATTGTACACCTGAAACTAACATCACACTGTATTAATTATACTGGAATTTAAAAAATAAACAGGCCAATAAATAAATAATAAAAATAAAATGAAAAAAAATGTTAAATCTATGATCCATCTGGAATTTTTTTCTAAATTGGGAAATCTGTCCTTTCTCTACAGATATGAAATTCCATTTTTACTGTATACCCAAGCCTTCTATATCATTAAGTGTGCTTCTGAGCTCTCTGTGGGGCATGCTCTGCCACACTGTTCCACACTGTTAGCTGTCACACATTTAGACTACACGTCTCCATTAATTAAACGTTTTCAAAAAAATTTTAGTACTTTTTGTATATTACGATTTCTAAAAGAAATTTGGGATCATTTTGTAATGTTTAGAAGAATTGGAAATTGGATCATGTAAAAATGTATAGCTTACTCCTATAATTCTTCAGAGAGAAGTAACATCTTTATAATATTTCAACTTTGATTTCAGTAAATTTATAAAATATTAGGTTCCCCAGTATATTTTTTCTAGTAGCTGTGCTTCCTATTGTAAATGAGCTCTCTTGTTTATTGTATTTTCCAACTGTTTATTGTTCATATAAAGCACTACTTTTTTTCTAAGTGAAAATTAGACTCACTGATTTTTATTTAAAGTATTATATAAGAGCTGAGTCAATGTACACGTTAGGGGAAAACATAGAGACTGAAAGTGCCCCATAATGAAAATCCCTCTGCCCTAAGATAGTCAACAGTTGGTGCGTATTCCTCACATTTGTTTTCCTAAAAATGTTTTTCTCTTTTATCCTTCTGACCATATGCCACAGCTCCTCCAGTAGTTGCATTTTTTATTTGGTAATAGATCTTGGGTGTCTTCCTGGGTCAGTACACATCAATCTACCTCATTCTTAACTCTGCATAGAGAGCAGTGTGTGTGTAACTGATTTATTTAACATGGCAATTGGTTCATTTTGTAACTAGCCAATTCCTGAGTTTTCTTTTCTTCTAATGGTTTTGTTGTTATTAATTCTTTTGCCTCTCTCAGGTAGACAGTGGTTCTGGGTGGTAATGATAATTTTACCTCCATATTTTTTTTACCTCCATATTTTTAATGATCTTATTTTACTTCCTTATCACAGTGGCCACTTTTGGAAGAATGTTAAGTAACACATATATAATTGTGCCAGTCTTGTACATTCTTTATATATGTATTTTTTACTTAGCAAGAATACTTCTAGTGTTTCTCTAAAAGTATAAATTTTACTCTTAGTGTAAGATATTCTTAATATTTCAATTTATATGTTAAAATGATGTCTGTAGTTTGCTGAAAGCTTTATCAGTAATAGATGTTAGAATTTTATTAAATTCCTTTTTTCACATCTGTCAAGATGATCAAATGCTTTTTATCATGACCTAAGATGAATCATTTTCATAGACTTGCTAATGTCTAAGCCCTCTCTGCATTTCTAGAAAAACCTGGTTGAGTCACAGTATAGTATTCTTCTAATATAGATCTCCACTCAATGTTAACAGTGGTTATTTATGGTGGGTTAGTTTATGGTAGATTTTTATTTTGTGTTTTTATCTGTATTTTCTGATTTTTCCACAAGTCTCGTGTATTACTTGTATAATAAGAGCTTTAAAATAAGAAAAATATTCTGAATTTGGCTTGCTCATATCTTAGAATTTTTCATATGTTAAGATGGATCGTTGTGTAATTTCTTGTCCCGCTTTGTCAGGTACTGGTGTTGGGTTTATGTTAACGTCTTTAAAAAAAAAAAAAAAAGACAAAAACTTGGGGAGCTCTTGCTCTCTTTTTTTCTATGCCCTGGAAACATAATAAATAATATATAGAATTTTTTGCTCCTTCAAGTTTCTATAATCTGTGTAAAACTGTCCAAGTCTAGTGCCTTTTTAGGAAATAATTCTTTGACACCTTTTTAAAATGTTTCCTAGGCTCATTGGTCTCTTCAAGCTCTCTTCCTGTTCTGTGAATTTGGAGCCATTTAAGTTTATTAATAAAGATTCTGTTAAGATTTTCAGATTTGCCAGCGTAGAGTTTTCTCCTTTCTCATTCATAACGCTGCGTGCCTGTGCTTTCCCTTTATTCTGATTAGTTTTCCCAGAATTAGTCTATTTTATCAGTCTTTTCAAAGAACTTATATCCTAATTTACTCTTTCACCGTTTTATGATTTTTTTGTTAGTTTTTAGTATTTCTTTAATTTTTTTTTCACCTTCTCGAGGTGAATGCCATTTTAAGTTTTACTTATTTAATGATGGATGCAGTTACTAGCAATTGTAAGGCTGTGACTTCTCTTCTGAATACTTCTTTGTCCATATCCCTCAGATTTTTAAGTAGATTGATCTAAGTTATAAATAATTTGTAATTTCAGATTTAACTTCATTTTCACTGGAGAGTTATTTGAAATTATTTTTTAAAATTTCCAGGTATTTTGATATTTGCTATTGTTTTTAACATTTGTTACACATTTTGAGCTTAACTGCCTTGCTGTCAAAGAGGGTATGGCCTGTACACTTTCTGCATTTTGGAGCTTACCGCTAGCTTCTTGGGACCTAACAACTTGTCACTTTTAATAAATATTCCCAGGATATGCATTGCTACAATGCCTAAAAAGAAAAAAAAAAGTATTCCCAGGAAACTGGAAAAAAAGATGTATTCTCTGAAGGGAACAAAATTCAGTCTCTCTGTATTAATTTGACCTTATTAATTATAATATTATGGACCATTAATTTTTACTTATCTGATCCATTAAAGACTAAGGAAAGTGTGTGAGTCTCCCACTACTGTTGAATTTCTGTCTGTTTCTCTTGTGTTTCTAATGGTTTTTGCTTTATGTGTTTTAGTATGGTGTTGTTTGGCAAATTATCTTTTTATATTTAAGGCAAAAATATGTCCCTTTGAAGACTTGTATACCTTTGTGAATGTTACCTGATTTTGTTGTAACAGTTGTTTATGTAGAAATATATAGTTCAGTAAAATGTTTGTGTCTATTTTTAAGTCAACAAAAATCTTTCAGGATTTCAAAAATCCTTTGTGTCTTAAGGTATTTTGGAAGCTCTTGATCTCCCCAAGGGTAGGTTAATGTACTCTGGGGTCGCTTCCTGAGCCGAGGGAAGGATGGCAGTGTGGGTTGAGGTCCATGTGCTTTTGGTGGAACAGAATGAGAGTTTTTGAGTATGCCAACATTTCCAGTTCCTGCTTTGAGGCAACCCCATGCTTGGGTATGCTTAGGGAACACCTGCCCTTCAGCTGGTGACATTTTGCCTTGATGGGGCCAATACCAGAGCTATTCTCAACCCAAGAGGCATGTTTCTTCTGCAGGTCTAACGTTCTAAGCAGAAGGCAGCAGAGTATATGCTTGTGTTCCTGGCTGTTGTGGGGAAAGTTAATCTCAGAGACTCGTTCTACAAGAAAAGATTTTTCCAGAGCCGTTTGAACAGATACTCACATGACAAAGTGCGTCAGGCAGAGAACCAACTCTTCCCAAACACATATAGGAGGTGTGAATCTCAACCCACGGCTCAGGAGTGGAAGAAATAAGACCTTCTCTCTTTACCCCTCATTCAAGTTAATTTCTGTTTTGAGTTCCCATTCTTCCGGGCCCATGCAATTTGGTCTTGGTCAATTCTGGGGCCCCGTTCTCTGCAGTGTGAGTCTTCAGAGGTTCTGGGGGGGCTTACGTATCTTTCAAGGTCTTGGGAGGAGAGGTCTAGTGCCTGCCGAGGTGTCCTCTGTTCCTGCCCCTGCCCTGCTCTGTCTCCCACTCCACTCCCTCTGTGTCCTGCTCGCGTGCTTGGGAGTACGAGAACTTCTCAGATGTTCCTGTGCTCCGGAGATCTCTCTGCGGCCGTCCTGTTTGACAGCAAAGGTTTCAGGTGGAGGGTGACTGAACTTGAAGGGACTGCTGGATAGGCCAGCTGCGTTGGCGCAGGAGCTCGCTGCAGCATGAAAGTGGTTCTGTGGCCGCCAATGCCTGCTTGTTGGCTGCAGGCCCTCAGCCACCTTGTGGGTTAGCCTGTGACCCTGCCCACTTTGAGAGCCACCTCCCCGAGGGGCCTCCTCACACCACATCGGGTCCTGCCTTTTACCTCTCCAGGGCATTTGGCCATGTTGACCTGGCTCTTGAAATAATCCTCCCAAGACTCTGAAGTTTTCCTTCCCAGTCCTGTCTTACCTCTGACTACCCCTCCACTCCTCCTCCTGCTTTGGAGTGTTGGAGTCTCCAAGGATCCGGCCTGGGCCACCTTCCCTTGACACTCTGTCCCCCAACTGTCTCAGGAGCTCCACGGTTGATTCCATCAGCAGCTGCCCGTGCCCCCAGCTTGGGTCTCAATGCCACCCCCCCCCCCCCGCCCCGCAGTTCAGCTCCCATCCTCCGGTGCCGCCGCCCTCTCCCCCACGCTGGCCCATCTTTGCTGCCTGTGCAGCGACTCGTGATGTCGGGGTCCTCCCTCGGGCTGTCCAGTCTCTTCACCCCTGCCACACTTGGCAGATAGACCAACCCTGCCTGCTCCTGGCCTCCATTGTCCCGGAGCTCCTCCACCCTCTGGTTCCTCTTATGTGAAGCTGCCCGGAGGCCTCTTCCCAAGGCCGGACACCTCAGGTTCTAGCCGCGCCCCCCCACTCCCACAAGGCCTCCCAGGGCCCCTCCCCACCTGCCCGGCCTTGCTGTTCTCCTGCTGCTCAACCTCCCCTGGATGGAACCCTTCCGCTCTGCCGGCCTGGGAACGCAAAGGTGAGATTCCCAGAGCTTCCACGGGGTGTGCACCTCCAGGGGCGAGGTGAGACGGTATGTTCCGGTGCTAATGGAAGGCAGCTGCTGGGGAGTCTGTGGGTCCCAGAACGGGGGCCAGAGCACAGCCAGCTTCTCCACAACTGGGGGACCCCAGGCCACTCGGAAGATCCTCAGACCTGTGAGACGTCAGGCTTCAGGGCCCCTGCCCTGGGAAGGAGCCCGCAGTGACCCTAAGTATGCCTGCCTCACGCCTCCCTCACCACAGCCCCAAGGTTGGGGTCTGCCTGGGTGTGCCGGTGGCCTTCAAAGGGGGGGTCTGCAGACCAGATGCTTCGGGGCTACCTGGGGTTTCCAGGCCATCCCAGAAAAACTTCCCGGATTAGCACCTGCAGACTGGGCCTGGCCGTGTGCATTCTAGCAAGCTCCTTGTGCTGGACAGGACGGTGGCTCCCCAAAGCTGCCCACGTCCCAATTCCTGGAACCTGGGAATTCATGACCTTATGTGGCAGCAGGAACCTTGCAGCTGGGACTCAGGTTACAGAACTCCAGGTGGGGAGATGATCCTGGATTATCTGGGGTGGGGGGGGTCCCAGTCTAATCACATGAGTTCTTCAACACAGAGCACTTTCCTGGCTGGGGTCAGAAAGAGACACGATGGTGGAAGGAGAGCCCGAGAGATGAGTGACCGCTGGCTTCGGAGAGAAACGAAGACCCCCGCCAGTGAACGCAGGTGGCCTCTAGAAACGGGAAGAGGCAGGGAAACGGCCTCTCCTCTCGAGCCTCCGGAAAGGACCACGGCCCCGCTGACACCCTGAGGTCAGCGCCGTGGGGCCCGCGCGGACTTGGGACCTACAGAACGGTAAGACCATCCGTGTGAAGTCTCCGGGTTTGTGGCGGTTTGTTACGGCCGCAGCAGAAAACCAATACACTCCTCCCGTGAGTTTACGTAGTTAAGAATCGCGAGGCTCTGCTGTGTAAGTTCAGTCGCCTACGTGGTTTCGTGTGGGTGGTCGTGAACGGAAGACCCCTCGATCCTAGCACCAGCTACCGCGTGCTTGAGCCCCCTGCTCAGAGTCTGGAGAGGGAGCGAACGAACGCGTGAACAGGGAAGCCCGATTGGCTCAGCTCCTCTTTTTTCCCCTGCAGGACACCCCCAAGGATGCTGCCCGTGTGGACTGCTATCGTGGACCAGCCTTGGCCAGAGGGCCCATCCCAGGTAGAAAACATGGCCTCGGTGGGCTGCGCTTGTGGGCCAGGGCTGCGGGTGGGGAGGCAGCGTGAGTGGTGTCAGGGACGAGGCGCCGTGGCCCGAGGGGAGGGCCAGGGAGACCCATGGGGCTGACACTGAAGGATGGGTGTGCCTTTGCCAGGACGTGGAGGCAGGGGGCATCCCAGGCACTTGGGCTTCAGCTGGGGCAACTTGGTGCCGAGTACAAACTGCAGGAGGGGCAGGGCTGCCCCGGGGACAGCAGCGAGGTCCCTGAGGACTCGGTCCCCCGGTCCCCTGCGGGCCGCTGAGGGGCTGGGGAGCTGGGAAGGCGGGTGGAGAGTGACGGGGGCGCAGGGAGAGCAGGCTGGGCGGTTGGAAGTTGGGCAGTGGGAGGCGACGCTCGTCCCTGAGGCCAGAGTCTGGGCTGAATTCAACGCTTGGCTGGAAGCAGGGGGCGAAGGGGGAAATGAGGGGGAGGCGGCTCCAGAGAAGGGGCACACAGAGCATAGTCTGGTGAGGAGGTTTAACTGGGAGAACTCTCTGGAAAAGGATCCTATTTCCAAGGGCTTCTTGTCTTTGGCAGCCCTTACAAAGCAAATTCTGAGAATTATCCATGCTTGGGTAAGTCTCAAGATACTGAAATTACAATGATTAAAATAAAAACAAGACCAAACTGCAGAGTAAGTGTAGGGAAGTCCAACAAAGCTTTGGCTTTGCCATTTTTTTTAAATACCAGGTTCTTTCCACAGAAACGTGCTAGCCTGGCCTGTGTGTGCTGGGGCAGGAGGCCTGAGGCTTTGCCCCGGGTTCAGGGCTGAGGGCCAGCGGGTGGCTGGCGGCCGGTGTCCCTGTGCGGCGCCCCCGGGGGCCCGTCCGGGAGCCGTGTGGCGGCAGCGGGGGCAGCGGAGCCTGGGCTCCGGGTGCAGAGCGCACGTGTTCACGCACTGGAGCTGGATTCGGGTTGGCCCCCCTTGAGGTCGGGGAAGGCAGGACACGGGGCAGACCTGTGGGCGACCTGACGGCGGCCACACGTGGAGGTCGAGGCTGCAGCTGCCGAAGAAGGTGCCCAGTCCCTCCCAGCTGAGGCCCCTCAGGCCTGACTCTGTGAGGAGGGAGTTAGTTAAGAAGAACCTGGAAGCGGGAGGGGTTTTGATAAATAACTTTTCTTTGGAAACAGAGGAAGGTCAGTGCACCTCGTTCTGTGGAGACCCAGGACGGCCAGGGCAAGGGTGAGCTTCTGAGGTTAGTGGGGACACTGCGGACAGTCCGAGGAATGAGCGGACTGCCTTGTGCTGACCCCTTCCCCTTCCTGAATTCAACACAAAGCAAGGAGGAAAGGCCCCAACATGAGACTTCGGTTCCTGAGGGAAACATTATTCCCTCACCCTTAGTAACTGCTTAAACAAATGTCTGAAATCTCCTTAAAAACTTTAAACCACCCCTGCCCCCCGCCAGGCAGGGACAGCTGTGTTCGCGTATTAACGTTTCCTGTCCTCATGAGTGACGCTGACGCATTATAAATAGTTCTTTATTATGAGTTTATATAGCACTTGATACATAAAATATATTTTATTTAAAATAGTTAAACTATTTCCGGCTATAAGCAGCTTATTCTGCTTCTTGCTAAAATCGTGTTCACACTCCGACGGGAGGGACCACTACTGCATACAAACAGGAAGACCCGGTCGGTGGCGGAACGGCACCACTTAGCATAGTGCTAGCAACTTCTTTTCGGAAGAAGGGGATGATTCTAGATAATCCTTGGTGAAACATCAAATCTACTCTCTTACGCCAGCAGTACAGCGGGTTCCTAGATCCCAACTCCAGTTTGGCGTGTGGAAGTCACCACCCCTCGACCTCCTGCCCTGATGGCAAGAGCCACGGCCTTCCAGAAAAGTTGCACACCTCACGCTGAGCCCTGCTCGGCTCTCGGGCTGTCCCGTGGCTGACAGCCCCGTTCACAGGCTTTTCAAGCCCAGGTCTCGGCCTGCGGCACCTCATTCAAGCGCAGGGAGCCCGCGGCGGTGGAGAGGGCTCAGCGGTCCCACTCGTCGTCGGGGCCCGGCTCCTCGCCGTCCTCGTCCTCCGAGTCGGCGGACACTCTCTTGATTCTTTGGAGTGCCGCCTTGATACTTCTCTCCAGGTCGCTGGTCGGCTTGCCGCTGGCGCTCAGGCCGAGGCCAGAGCGAACCTTCTTCAGCTGGACCCCCCGCCGTATGGCAGCCAGAAGCTGCTCGTCGAAGGCGGCGTGGGGAGGGGTCAGAGCGGGCGCGTCCACCCGCCGCAGAGGGCTAGTGCCACCCCTTAGGGAGGCCAGCACTTCGTCCATGGACCCTGAAACGGAGCAGACAGAGCAGGGACGATCAGGAAACCATACCGTCTCCGCCCCAGAGGCCAGGACGTTCGGTCACACACCAGTCAACGCCACTTGAGCACATCAGCGTTCCATTACACAGGTGCTTCGGTTACCGGCCAGGAAGGTCGGTTGACCCTGTGGCCGCAGGGTCATCACTCCTGCCTCCCCCTGACCGCCCGTCCTCGAAGCCGCGGCGGCTCAGAGGCACGGTCACGCACACCTGTCCTCACAACGGCTGCTTTTCAAGACACGGAGCTTATCTTTGTGTGATCCCGAAGCCTGGGGGAATGCCTGGGCTACAGATAATCTGACCCAGTGTGTGGGACAGCAGCGCACAGGTTCTGCAAATTGTATCTCCTCCGGTTTGCTTCCTACTCTAAGAAAATCTTTTCCTCCCGTGCACCTGCCGTGTTTCTCTGACTTCACTCTTGGGTGTGTCAGTGGTGACTCGTTCTGTGACAGTGACAGGAGGAGGTTTGCACACAGAGGCTGAAAGGAAGCTCATCCACGACAGTGAGCCTGGAGGCGGCGGCGCTGGGACCTCTCTGCACGCACCGCCTTCGTTCCACCCACGGGAGTTACCTGAGCCAACGCGCAGCTCCTACCTGGGAGCGTGAGAAATGCTGGCAAAACACAAATGAGATCAGAGTCTCAAGGCCTTGGTGAGGAGAAGCCATTTTTACTCAGGCATCTTGAGACCCCCGAGGGGGTAAAATCCGTGACCGCCTGCTGGAGTCGGGGTGGGGCTGTGGCCCCTAATGTAGAGTCTGGTGGTGGGGGGGGTTGGCCTGCAGGAGGAGTTGTTTCTGGTTTGGGATGAGAAGCCAGGCTAGGACTGACAAAATACTATTTCACTTTAGATTTAAATCCACAATAGTTTCCTTCCAGGAGTAAGAAGACAGAGTGTCACACTCTGGGGCATTTTCAGGGGGCTAACTCACATCTTCTGATTCTTTGCGGTGAAATGAGGCGCTGTGCATGTGCTGAGTAGGGCCTCCCGACACCGCGTGTGCGTTAGCCCTGAGCTGGGATGAGCGCCGCCCAGAGGTCTGCCCACACCCAAACTGCAGGCCGAGGCGTGCATGCTCTTGCTCTTCTTTCACACTGTGTTGTTGCAAACCCCGTGCAGATGGGCCGGTTGGTCTACATGTAAGAGTGTGGACATTTTCATTTGTACCTGCTTCTGGGTACAGGAGACTGTGAATTCAGAATCACTGGAACCACAGTTTGGAACGGTTCTGTTTATATGGCTCACATTGCCTACGGCAGCAGCCTTGCCCATCCTAGGTGGAGGGGCTCGGACACAGTCTTTGTAACAAATGTACACAGAATTCTTCTGGGATTTATCTGACCCCCCCCCTGCTGCCCAAAGCAGCAGGCTCTGAGTCTGGGCAGAAGGATTTAAGCCAGTCTCCCCAAGAGTCAATGTATCAGCCATAATTAGAACTACAAGTCAGAGTGACAGCCCTGTTCAACAAAGAATATTCATTCATGTGTATTCAGTGTATTGTACTTGCAAAGGCAAAACGGGGTCTGCTGGTTTTTTTGACCACTTCATTTTAGAAAGATCTTCCAAAATACGGTTTCTCAGTCCACCAGTCTGTCAGAACAGCCTTCTGTATTCTAATGTTCCTCGACAATAATTCCCAACCAATATTCAGCTTAAGATGCAACAATTAAATTCTGTAAATGACTCAGAGATGCAACAGTAGGCTTAAGCAATACTGAGAAAAATTCCAGTGGCAGAAATCAAATGCATACTCGTGTCTTAAGAACCTGAAACGGGGGATTCTTTAACAGCGACCCCAAGTCATGGGACCATTAAGTGTATGGAGATCGTTTCCTCCAGATGAGTTAGGGTTAGCAGTTAGCAGACTGATTCAGGCTGTGCTAACTTTGCAATGAGAGAGCGATAACTTAAGGCAGCCTATGCTGGAGAACTGTAAGACTATAGAGAATTCTGCAAAAGATTTTGATTTGAAGGTGACTGCTCCTACAGCGAGAATGCTCCAGCCAGCCACTCGAAAACTGAGCGGGCACAGAACCCCAGCAGTTACCTGGGCCAGCGAAACCAGCTGAGGAATAACGCGCTCTTCCAGCGGACGGCTCGGACGATTCGCACACCAGGGGACGTGGCTCATCGGCTGTTAGTAGCGTCCTCAAGTGTAAGTTCTGGTGATTTGTGGACGGAGAAAAAGAAAAGGGCAGAGCAGGGAGGGGCAGTGGGGGAGGGGGCGGGGGAGGGGGCGGGGGAGGGGGAGGCGGTGGTGACAGCTCCTCGCTGGATCTGCAGTGTGTTTGGTCACCAACAGCAACAGAGCTCTGAACAGTATTTCCAGAGCCATGTGGCTCCTCGGGGGTTTGCGCATTACTGACTTCAGAGAGGGGCACGCTTTGGGCCTCCCCAGAGGACGGATGGCTTCTGGCGGCCAGCGGAGAGGTCTGCGGGGAAGGCCCACGTGGCAGGCGTGGAGTTGCAGGTTCTGAGCAAGGGGTCTTTAGTACAGACCCACCTGGACATCTCTGAAAAGGAAACACTGCTGTGAGAAACTTGCCACAGTGCAAACTGTCAGAATGCGGAAACGTGCTGTACGTAAACGCCAACCCATCTCTGCATGGATGGTTCTCATTTGCAACGTGGCTCCTTCTCACTCTGGACAGCAGCCCTTGCTACTAAATCAATTTCTAAGGAATAAGTATTTCTTTGATATATAATGCTTCCTCTGCAATAAAATAAATACATGAAAGTATATGCATATATGAAAACATTCATAGTTTTAGTACAAAAATAAGACTCGAAATAACAGTAGGAAGTTAGCTGAGAAAATGATGGTGAATCTATTTAAAATATTAGGCAGCAGCAAAAAATCAAACAGTACACAAAGTTGATGAAACATTCTTAAAAAATACAGATGATACAGTGTTACATTTATAACCCTGTAAAACAACAGCTGTATGAAAAATTCCCCCAGAGTGGACCTCAAAGTGACAGGTGTAACATGTCTCTTATTTTTAGGTTTAGAGTAGATTTTATAATTTAAAAATGTAAATTTATTTTTTTAAATTTTATTTATTCGAGAGATCTAGAGAGCACAGCAGGGGGAGCGACAGAGGGAGAAACAGGTTCCCCGCTGAGCAGAGAGCCCAACGCAAGGGTCCCAGCACCCCAGGATCATGACCTGAGCTGAAGGCAGACGCTTAACCGACTGAGCCACACAGGTGCCCCTAAAAATATAAATTTAAAACATTCTGGTCTCTCGGGTATTATTTTGATAAAGAAAAACATAACCTTACCAAAAAAAAGAATCTTGAGTGGTAGGAGGGTGGTCCCTAATGAAGGCATTAACTAGCCAATGAAACACATAAAATGTAAATACTATGTAGCCATTAGAATGAACTAGATTTATAATATATAAACATGAACACATTTCAAAAATGTAATTTAAGGTGGAAAAAAACTGGCAGAGACTGTATGTAATGTGATAATACTAATGTACACTTAGTAGTAATATACCAAAAGTGTAATTCATGATAAAGAGTCAGGCATACCTCATCTTACTGCACTTTGCTTTATTTTACTTTGCAAATATTGCATTTTTTTTTTTATAAATTGAAGGTATGTGGCAACCCTGTGTCAGACAAGTCTGTCGGGGCCATTTTTCCAACAGCATTTGCTCACTTCATGTCTCTGTATCACATTTTGGCAATTCTTGCAATATTTCACATGTTTTCATCATTACGTTTGTTATGGTGATATGTGATCAGTGATCTTTGATGTTACTATTACATTTGTTTTGGGAGGGGCGCCTGGGTGGCTCAGTTGGTTAAGCGTCTGCCTTAGGCTCAGGTCGTGATCTTAGGGTCCTGGGATCGAGTCCCGCATCGGGCTCCCTGCTCAGCGGGGAGTCTGCTTCTCCCTCTCCACAGCTTGTGCTCTCGTGCTCTCTCCAAATAAATACAATCTTTAACAATGAACAACTGTTCTGGGGCACCCAAACTGTGCCCATGTAAGACAGTCAACTTCATCATTGTCTTATTCTAGGAAACGGCCCCAGCCCACCTTCAGTGGCCACCACCCTGAGCCGCCAACAGCCAGTGACATGGAGGCAAGACCCTCCACCAGCAGAAAGACTACCACTAGCTGAAGGCTCAGACGATTGCATTTTGAGCAGTGAAGTATTTTTAAATGAAGGTATGTACATTTTTTGTAGACATCGTGCTATTGCACACTTAACAGATGACAGTATAGTATAAACATCACTTTTATATGCACTAGGACACCAAAAACTTCACTTGCCTCGCTTTCCTGGGGTGGTCTGACCCCTGCACAGTCTCCCACCCACGTTTTTCTAAGTCTTCCCACAGCAAACAGGAAAGCGCTGGCAGCAAGACCCAGACCTCACCAATGCAGTCGCTAGTCAGTAGTGACTATGTGACATAGACAGAACTCCAGGCCAGACTCCAGGGGTCGTCCAACCATCCTGATGGCAGGGATGCCCAACCCCCCAGGACCCCTTCCTCGGCATCCCTGCGGCTGCAAGTCGCTGTGACTCTGGCCTGTTGAGTTCTGCCTTAGGTTGCTGAGAAGTCTGTCTCCCCAGGGCTCACCCAAGACAAATTCAGCCCTTGACCCCCTAGCAGCCCCTCAGATATTTAAAAACAACCTGTCTGGGGCGCCTGGGTGGCTCAGTCGGTTAAGCGACTGCCTTCAGCTCAGGTCTCGATCCTGGAGTCCTGGGATCGAGTCCCGCATCGGGCTCCCTGCTCGGCAGGGAGTCTGCTTCTCCCTCTGACCCTCTTCCCTCTCGTGCTCTCTCTCATTCTCTCTCTCTCAAATAAATAAATAAAATCTTAAAAAAAATAAAAAAATAAAAACAACCTGTCTGGGCTCAACAAGTATCACGTATCACATGATTCACTTCCGGTCTTCTCCTACTTCCTTCCTTCCAAATATGCTCAAATTGGCTTTGTCCCCTTTGAGGGTGGCGCTTCTTGGCAAACACGGGACCCCCTCGTTCTCCAGGAGCTGCTTCTGTTTGTGCATCTTACAAATGCACAGGCTTTCCTGCAGCTTCACCACAAGTGACCGGTGGAAGGCTGAAGGAAACTAAATGCTCAAGCTTCTTTCCCCTGCGTTGAGACCCCACGCACTCTGCACCCCTGTCCACCACCCTCTGGAGAAGGATACACCTCCAAGGACCAAAAAAACCTGCACTTTAGACCAATGTGAGGTCAGTGGGTTTGATATTTTCACTCCCTGTTCCAGTCTGTTGAGAGCGTAGGTGGCCTGGTTCTGTCACCCTCCATCAGTCTATGCCTCCCATCTCCACGTGTGAAAAGTGGTCTCTGATCAGCCAGTTCGAGGCTAAAGAGCCGGCCTTGCACCCCCAGATCCGTCCTCCATCCCAACTGCACTCCATTCACCAGCACCCTCCAGTAAGAGCTGACCGACTGGTTGTCCTACACACAGTCGCTTGGTTTTCATCTGGTTTTTACATGGCATCCCTCCTACTCGGTCTTCCCACTTCCAGAGGTGGGGTCTGGGCATTCGTGACTTTCAGAAGCTCCCCAGCTGATTCTGATGTGCTGCCCGGGCAGGAGAAGGCATATAAGCTTAAGCTAAGTGTAGCCGTTCGGGGCCGCAGGGTTAAGAAGTAAACGAGAATGAATGTACATGTTAGCACCGGGCCGGTATACAGTAGGTGTTCATTAATGATCAGAGTAGTAAGCACATCAGAAAGCAAGCTGCAGTCAGTGTGTCCTGATTTATCACTCCAGTGGTCCCCAGTGGTCCCCTTTCTTGTTGGAATCACGGCACACCTTCAGTACCTTATTCGAGAATTTTGTCTGGGCGCGGGTGAGCTCTCCCTTTGGGGGCAGCTACAGACTTGGGTCTTTGTGAAGGTGTGTGTTGTAGGTGTGTGATGAAAACAATTTATGTGTCATCCTTTTATATTAAACCATGTTTAACATTGTTTTTAAATAAGTAGCTATTTACTTCCTTTTTAAACCTATTCAACTTTTCACAGGGCACTTAACCATACTGTGTCACTGTGCTCTCAACTGCATTTGAGAGAATTCTTTGTTACAAGGAAGGAAAAAGCGAGCTAAAGTTGAGGCCAGTTTAACTGTTCTCAATTTTTCTGGCTGGGCAATACCACGGCGGGCAGAGTCAGCACCACTGGGGCAGGAGGGGAGAGCAAGAACCCTGGTGCACAGCAGTGTCAAAAACTTAATAGTCTAAGATTTTTGGGCGCCTGGGTGGCTCAGTCGGTTAAGCGTCTGCCTTCGGCTCAGGTCATGATCTCAGGGTCCTGGGATCAAGCCCCACGACTGGCTCCCTGCTCAGCGGGGGCCGCTCCACCCTCTCCCTCTGCCCCTCCCTCCAATTGTGCGTGTGCACTCACTCGCTCTCTCTCAAATAAATAAAATCTTTTAAAAAATATTCTCATATTTTTGTTTTTTATTTCTACACTAAAAATAATGGCGTTTGGGGAACATTTTGTGTTCCAAATGATCTGTTCATAATACTTGACACTCTTCTCCCAGCATGGGTGATCTTCATTTATTTCTCCAGAAAATGCAGGTGAGGTGACTATTTCTAGAACTTACCTCTTTAAATGCTCTCAACCGCTGGAGTGTTTTTTTGCGTTCCTGGTTTATCCATTCTCTCTTCTTTTGCTCCTCTTCTTTCATTTTGTCTCTTTTCTATATTTAAAGAATCATATGTTTGTACATTTCTCAAAGTAGAAGTCTTGAGAAAGAAAGGGTCCGTGACCTGACGCTGGCCCCCCAACTTAGCCCGACTCCCGCGCCCCCTCCCCAGGCTGCAGGCTCCCCAGGATCAAGCGTGCCCTGATCCAGGGCAGAGGAGTTCCACTGTCCAGATTTAAGCCAGTGTGTCACGTGATGCAAACATAAGACACGTTCTTTTCAACCACTTACCACCTGGATACTATGATGCTGATGAAAATGTTTCCTACTTTCTTCAGCCAACTGCAGTCGGAGCCGATGATTCTCTTTGCACTGATCCTGGAAGAACAAGACAAGTCACCTGCACGTTGTCAGTGTTACCGTGGGCTCTAGCAGAGCAGTTCAGCAGAAGGAGGCACTGTGTGCTGTCGTGTGAGGCATTCATTCTCAGGAGTTTCTGGCGTGGCTCCAGGGTTCTGCCTCCCCTCAGTCACGGGGCCCGTGCTGACAGGCTATTTACGGGGATCGACGGCACCCAGTGGTAAGGACCACAGCTGATTCAGTGCCGTGAAAAATGGAAAAGCAAAGCCTCCAAGTGAAAATGAGGGGACACACAGGCATCCCCTGTGCTGAAATGGCATGTGTCCTAGGAATCTGTTTCCATGTGATTGTTTTAAACACATCTCCCCATAATATTACAACAGTAATTACATTTCCGAACATACCTATACAACCATATCCAACCCACAAATACCTAGAAAATTATATTAAAAACTGTATTTTAGGGTGCCTGGGTGGCTCAGTCGTTTAGTCTGCCTTCGGCTCAGGTCATGATCCCGGGGTCCTGGGATCGAGCCCCACATCAGGCTCCCTGCTCCGCGGGGAGTCTGCTTCTCCCTCTCCCACTCCCCCTGCTTGTGTTCCCTCTCTTGCTGTGTCTCTCTCTGTCAAAAAAGAAATAAAAATCTTAAAAAAAAAACCAACTATATTTTAACCATGCTGAATCATTCTTGGTATATTACCTTTTATGTAATCATGGAGTTTTTAAAAATTAAGAAAAAATCACTCCCAAATGTAAGGATTGATATGAGTTGAATATTCTTTTTTTAGATTTAAAAAAATTTTTTAAGCCCTCTCTACACCCAACATGGGCCTCAAACTCACAACACCAAGATCAAGAGTTGCACGCTCCACTGACTGAGCCAGCCAGGCGCCTCGTTATTTCTAATATTCTATAATCAATAATTTACAATAGAATAAATTTTAGAATGTACTATAGCTGATTATTAGAAGTTTCTACCTACCATGATCTTTAAAATACGTGTGTATGTAGCAGGCATTCGACAAAACAGTTGCTGAATGGATTAATCAAAATCTAGAGACTATGGTAAATGCTTAGACCCCAAAAGAAACAGAATCCTTTTTTAAAAAATGTAAATATATTTGTAGCCACTGATAGCCATATAAACACACAAGAAATTAATCACCGTATTGGTAGAAAGCCTGCCTTTCAATACTTGTATTGAAAAATACAAGTATTTTCAATACTTTATTTTCCATAGGAGTTGTCCTGGATGGGGAAGGAGAGAGGCCGGCCCGCCCGCCCGCCTACCTGCCTGTTCCTGAGACGGGCTCTCCGGGCGCAGACCCTGCCCCGCTGGGACTCCAGACGCTGGTACCGCCGGCTCAGCTCTCTCACCTGCACGCCCCTGTCCCCCGGCAGCCCTGGCACGCCATCCAGGGCTCCCAGCTCCTCTGGACTTTCACACGGGTCGTAGTAGACAACTTCCTCCTCTTTATCTAGAAACATATTGATGACGTTTTTAAAACACGGTTGGGTATAAAAAAAATAACACATAAAAATACTTTAAATGTAAGAAAGTAAAGATCACTTGTAACCATTCCACCCAGGGAGAGCCACTATTAATGTGTGTGTACACGTACACGCAGCTACACACACACAGAGCCACACACATCAATAACACAGTACGAAGAAGACATTTTCCATGTGATGGAAATAGAATTTTAATGGCAACACAGTATTCTTTAATTTGAGCATTCTGCATTGTTAGAATATTCCAGGGTTCCACTATTATCAATTTCACGGTGATGAACATCTGAACATAAAATCTGCGTACATTTTTTTTTTTTAAGATTTTCATTTATTTGACAGAGACACAGCGAGAGAGGGAACACAAACAGAGGGAGGGGTAGAGGGAGAAGCAGACCCCCACCAAGCAGGGATGCGGGGCTCGATCCCAGGACCCTGGGACGATGACCTGAGCCGAAGGCAGACGCTTAACGACTGAGCCACCCAGGCGCCCCCTCTGCGTACATTTTTATTACTTCTTTAGAAGATGATGAATGTCAGGGCTCTTGATAATCAGCATTCAGTGGCCCTCCAGAAAGGCAACCTATATTCTACCAACAGTGTGGCATTAAGATGCCTTAAAGATACTAAATCTTGATTACATACATATTTTTAAAAATACATGCTGCTTGTAACACATCCCAGCCCTACAGAACTGAATTAAAATAGAAAGTGAAATTTTCTTCTTCCTTTCCCAAACCTTTGGAATCCCATTCCTGGAGGAAAACATTATGAACAATTTTGCATGCATCTTCCCAGATTAACTTTTTAAATAGGATTTTCCCCTAAATATGTAAAATACTTATAACCTGAAGTTACTGTAAAGTTTTTTGAATACCTAGGATTAAATTAAATGTTTTGATTCAGTATGAAGAAAATCATTATGCTTGGAGAAACCTGAAGGGGGAAAAAAAGCCTTGAGTCAAAGGATACCATGTTCTTGGATGGGAAGACTCAAAATTGCAAAGATGATTCCCCAATTAATCTCTAATTTTAAGCATAATCCCAATAAAAATTCCAAGGAGTTCTGGTTTTTGGGGGGGTTTGTTTTGTTTTTTGGTGTTTTTTTTTTTTGGTTTGGAACTTGCCAAAATGATTCTAAAGTTCGTCTGGAAGAATACAGGAGTGAGAAGAGTCAGAAAACCTCAGGAAAAGCAGAGTACTGAGGGAGGTGCTTGTTGTCCAGACACTCAAATGTACATCCAAGGACAGTGATAAGAACATATGGGACCAGCACCGGAAGCCACTCACGAACTAGCGAAAACAAAAGAATAATGCATAATTAGATAAAAATAAATGTAATAATTCTGGATATGAGACAGGAAGCCAGTCAAAGCACTTGGGGAAAATGTTTTCAAAATCAGTGACTGGGACTACCTAGCAATTTGGGGGTAGGTTAGATTCCTACCTCACATCAAAATTAATTTAACCTGGATTAAAGAGCTAAGTGTTTGGTGTTTTTTTTTTAATCACAAACATACTAAAAGAAAACATCAGTAAAATATTGATAAGTTTGGGGATGAGGAGCCCTTTGCCAGGTGTAACAACAAACACAGAAAGCAGATAGGACTTCCTAAAAATGAAGTATTTCTGCAAGGCAAGAAAAAGCAAATGACGGGGAGAAATTCTTTGCAACCCAGGACAGATAATAAGAGTAATAGCCTTAGTATGGAAAGGGAACGTTCCAAAGAAAAATGGGCAAAGACCACGGACAGACAGTTAATAAAAGAAATATAGACGGCCAGTAAACATGCAAAATCGTGCCTGCCATGCTTGTGATTAAATACATGAAAAGTACAAGATGTCATTGTTTTCAGTCAAGTAGGCAAGAACTTAAAAGAATGGCATAAGTGTGGGGAAACAGCTGTTTTCATCATCTGCCGCGACTTTTTGCACAACCTCAGTCTAGAAGGCCGTTATGTGGTACGGAATTTGGAAATAAGATAACAGAGGTGAGGAAAAAATGTGCATTGGATGATTATTGTAGTGTTAGCAGGTATGTGTCAACATGCAAAGTCTGCACGGTCCCTGACCCAACGATTCCACCTTTGGAAATTTATTCCAAGTAAATAATCTTGGGCGCCTGGGTAGCTCAGTCGGTTAAGTGTCTGCCTCCAGCTCAGGTCATGATCCCAGGGTCCTGGGATCAGGCTTCCTGCTCGGCGGGGAGTCTGCTTCTCCCTCTCCCTCTGCCTGCTACTCCCCTTGCTTGTGCTCTTTCTCACGCTCTCTCTCAAATAAATAAATAAAATTAAAAAAAAAAAATCTCTCCTACATGCAAGGGTGTGTAAAGGAAGGTTCTTCACCACACTGTCGTTTGCAATAGTGAAAGACTCGAAATCATGGTATATCTGTATAATCGAATACTGTGAAGCCATTAAAATGTCTGATGTTTTTCTTACTTAAAGGGAAAGGTGGTTATTATGTATTAAATGAGGTTACTAGACAGGATATAGAGTTTTGGTTTAAAAATTGGTATTTACTTAATGTGCATCAGTATACAAACGAGGCTCCCCAGCACACTGTTCTCCCTCCATATCTGTAGGTGATGGAACTGGGAATAACCCTTTTCCTCTCTTTGTTTTGCTGTGTGTTTAACTATGAATATATCACTGGAATAACAAAAATGCTAAAAGGAAACTTTAGGAAATTTCAGTAGATGTTTTAGCCAACTTATAAGAATAATGTGGCCTCTATCTCCTTGGAGGTGTGATTTAGACATTTTAACGTATACATTTAAATATAAATCTTACCTTTTATAAGCCTTTTAATTGAGTCCAACTGCGTTATAAGTAGTATTTCTTCATATTTTAATATCTCGAATTTAACCTCATACAGCTCTAACTGGACTTCATAATATTGTATTTCTAATTCATCTACAACATCTATATTTTTTTCTTGTTCTGGAAGATCTTCCATCTTGTTTTCATGAAAAAAATAAGAGCAAGTTAAAGTAAGTAGTACACTTTGGACAATTTTCTATTCTCTGCTTAGGACCAAATAGAAAGAGACAGAAAAGAAGCATTTTGCCATTTTAAGTAACAAAACAAAAATGCCTTATTCAACGCTTGTTACATATACTTTAACTTACTCTTGAAACATCTGAAAACATTTAGGTTTAGAAAAAAATCAATGCCAGTGAGGCATTTGCAGTGTTTCCTGCTTCAAACTCGTAACATTACAGGAAGAAATTTAAGTGGCTGTGATCCTAGGATGAAGGACCTTTGTATTACTCTCGAGTTGTGCTGAAACACTGCTTGATTAAGTGTATTACCCACTTCAGTACTGAGCTCAGTGTTATTACCAGGAACATTTTACAAGAGAATGTTTCAAAAGCATCTTGACCAAAAGGAAGCTTTATGGCCAACCTTCCACAGTCTAAATTCTCAGCTAGTAAAAGATGTTGGAATGAGTAAAGCAAGAAAGGTCTGTTAACTGTGCTTGGAAAGAAAGGTGCTACCTACAGATGTAGGGTTTTCCCTCCCTCCCTCCCTCCCTCCCTTTCTTCTCTCTCTCTCTCTCCCTCCCTCCCTCTCTCTCCCTCTCGTGTGTGTGTGTGTGTGTGTGTGTGTGTGCGCACATGCATGTGCATGAGGTGGGGGGTAGGAAGCAGAGGGAGAAGGAATCTTAAGCAGGCTCCACGACCAGCGTGGAGCCTGACACGGGGCTTGATCCCAAGACTGAGATCACAAACTGAGCCGAAATCAAGAATCAGACACTCAACCGACTGAGCCACCCACGTGCCCTAAAAGTGTGTGTGTGTGTGTGTTTTCTCATCCAAGTTTCATTTATCTTTGTCTTACCTTTCTCTGAATTTCAGCTCTTTTGTGATTTAAACACAACTCTCTGGCTCTCATGAGCTGCAGAGTCTCTCGGGCTAACATCAGCTTGAGTTTTTCTAACCTGGGAGTTGCTGTGGCCCAGGCAGCCTGGCCAAATCTCTTCTTGTCCTGTTCCATTTGTTTCTGCATTCCTGTTGGATTGTAATTAATAAAATAAAACATACTTACAACTCATTGAAAAGGGAAAAAATTTATCCCGAGCTAATTATTTATTTACTGCCTTCCACGTTACTTGCAAAACATCCTTTCTAAAAGAAAAACTGTTTTATTTTAATGATTTTTTATTGTCGCAAAAAAACTACGTGGACATCAGTATAAAAATTTTAGATACTTTGGGGAACCTGGCTGGCTCAGTCGGTGGAGCGTGGGAAACTTGATCTTGGGGTTGTGAGTTCGAGCCCCACGTTGGGTGTAGAGAATACTTAAAATCTTTACAAAAAATTTTAGATACTTCATTTAAAAAAATAATCATGAATCTCATCTACTTGAGGCGATGTTTCTTACATTTTGGTGCATATACATTGAGACTGTTTCTGCGTCAAGCTAGACAGAGAGTTTGAACCAAAAACAAAAGATAAACAAAAAACCCCGTAAGGGGCACCTGGGTGGCCCAGTTGGTTGAGTGTCTGCCTTCAGCTCGGGTCACGATCCCGGGGTCCTGGGTATCGAGTTCCATGTTGTACTCCCTGCTCAGCGGGGAGTGTGCTTCTCCCTCTGCCCCTCTCCCTGCTTGTGCTCTCGCTCAAATAGATGAATAAAATCTTAAAAAAAAAAAAAACCCACAAGATCATCATTCTTCTTTGTAGCTTATTTATTTCACTTAATGTATTGTGGAACTCTCACCATTTATAAAAACAGATACAGAGAATCACACTTCATAGCCACATGATGTTTCACTTTATGAACGGAACCTAACTGACAGACATTAGGTTTCCTGTTTGGGGTCATCATCTACCATGACTTACTTACTCCATCAGACAGAAGTCCTTCGCTGGCCCCATTCACCCCTGCCTGTCTGCGGCATTCTCTCACACCCCGTGCCCCTTCCCCTTCTGTCTCCAGCCCCCAGGCCTTCTTTAAGTTCCTCACACTCACCAAGCTCCCTCCAGCCATGGAACTTGGTGAGTGCCGTTTCTTCTGCCTGGGACACTCTTCCCTCACTTTGATGCTCTCTCAACTCCCACTGACCCTTCAGAGATCAGGCAGGCGCCACTTCCCAGAGGCCTTCACTAACCTAGTGAAGGAGCCTCAGGCCTCTCGGTGGCTCTCAGAGCCCCCTACTTCTCTTCTCCATGTGGCCGGCTGCTACTGCCATCTTTCATGTGTTTGAAGGAATACATAAGATCTCTCTCCCCTCACGAGACCGTACAGTGTCTGTTAATGCTTATCCTCACACTGAATCCTCAGCTCCTAGGAAACACAGTGCCTCGTGGTCAAGAGGCACTCAAATGTTTGTTGTATAAAATGAAAATGATGCACATCTTAGTATAGAATTTTAATTTGTTACCTGCTAGTGCTTTTACTGTTTCTTTAAAATAATTCACTGTAATGTCCTGAATAGAGACTATAGCTTCTTCAGCCTGTCTGGTCCATTCTTTGGCTTCCTTCTGCAAGGCAACTATCCTCTTCGGACCCAAATCATCCTCATCCAAGGATTTCTACAAAAGAAGGGAAAATTGTATTAGTAAGAGAGAACAGTAATGCAGAGCCACAGGAAATTGAAAGGAAATTGGTTACATGGATTATTTCAACTACTTTTATTTTTAAGATTTTATTTATTTGAGAGACAGAGAGGAGAGAGCACGAGAGGGGAAAGGGTCAGAGAGAGAAGCAGACTCCCTGCTGAGCAGGGAGCCTGATGCAGGACTTGATCCCGGGACTCCAGGATCATGACCTGAGCCGAAGGCAGCTGACTAACTGACTGAGCCACCCAGGCGCCCCTCAACTACTTTTATTACTACTCCTCAGTTAATTAAATTTCATTCATTCAGCAATTCCTTACTGAGTATGAATGAGGCTCTAAGCTAGGCACCACCTGGAAGACAAAGGAATACTCTGGGGCATGAAGAAAAATAAAAATCTACTTTTACTTTGCATTACTAGAATAACATTTTCTAGACAGGAATGCTCTCAAGTTATGTTTCTCTATTAATACATAATTGTTTAGGGGCACCTGGCTGGCTCAGCTGGTGGAGTGTGAGACTCTTGATCTTGGGGTTGTGAGTTCAAGCCCCACGTTGGGTGTAGAGATTATGTTAAAAATATAAAAATTTAGGGCGCCTGGGTGGCTCAGTTGGTTAAGCGACTGCCTTCAGCTCAGGTCATGATCCTGGAGTCCCGGGATCGAGTCCCACATCGGGCTCCCTGCTCAGCAGGGAGTCTGCTTCTCCCTCTGACCCTCTTCCCTCTCACGCTCTCTATCTCTCATTCTCTCTCTCTCAAATAAAATCTTTAAAAAATATATATATAAAAATTTAGAAAAAACCCGCAATTGTTTAAATGACACCCGTGCCATTAAACGTTTAGCACAGGGCCTGGTACACGGCAATCAAGGGTTAGCTGTTGCTATAGTTTCTTTTAGGCATGTGGCAGGAAACTTTTTCAATACAATAATTCTTCTCTGAAGGGCAAAAATAATACAATAACCTAAAAGATAGTAAAATCTATACATATAATTACAACATATGCTAGTAGTCATTTAGCATCCAATTCTTCTACAAAGCTATTAATATAAGAAATACCTACAGGTTAGCCATCAGGAAAATGTAAATCAAAACTATAGGATGCCACTTCACACCCACTAGGATGGCTAAAACCAAAAAGACAATAACAAGTGTTGACAATAATGTGGACAAACCGGAACCCTCATTTACTGCTGGTAGGAACGTAAAATGGCACGTTTGCACTGGAAAACAGTCTGACAGTTCTTTGGAAGGGCTACATATAGTTATCATATGACCCAGCAATTCCGCTACTAGGTATATATCCAAGAGAAATGAAAACATATGTCCACACAGAAACTTGTACACAGATGTTCACAGCAGCATTATTCCTAATAATCAGAAAGTGAAAACAACCTAAATGTCCATGAAACAACCCAAATGTCCATCAGCTGCTAAGTGGTTAAGTAAAATGTGCGATATCCATATAGTGAATACTATAAGACCATAGAAAGGAAGGAAGTTGTGGTACATGCTACAGCATGGAGGGACCCTGAAAACATTATGCGACATGAAAAGAGCCAGACACAAAGGGCCACATCTTGTATGATCCCATACAAGATGAAATGCTCAGAAGCAGAAAGTAGACTGGTGGTCGCCTAGGGTCGGAGGGGGAATGGAGAGTGACTGCTAATGGGCATGGGGTTTCTTTTGGGGGTGATGAAAACGTTCTGGAGCTAGAGAGTGGTGATAGTTGCTCAAATGAATATACTAAAAACCACTGAATTGTACACCTTAAACAAGTGAATGGCATGGTCTGTGAATTATATCTCAGTGAAGCTGTTAAAGAAAAAAATATATATAGGAATAAAAGACTATCCAAATAATAAACTTTCAGAATAACGAGAACAACTTTCTCTGGAAATTTAAGTGGCAAACAGGACACAATTTCTACAGTAGGATAGCTTGGCAGGGGCCATGAGTACATGTGTGGAAGGCTGGCCCAGTGCAGGGGGGCAGAGATCTCTCTAATGTCTTCTGATTCCAGCTGGTTGAGACCCAGGGAAAGCTATTTAACCTCTCTGGGCTCTAGGTTCCTTTGTAACACTGACAGGAGAATGCCTCCTCTAACTAGGGTCACTGGGTTATTCCATAGCTCAAGGAAATAAGAGCGATGGCAACATTTACTAAAGCTTAAATTACTGAATTATGATCCAGGGCCTTGCTATTTATATTTTCATCCTGTTTCTTAGAAATCTGCATATGTCCTTAGAGGCTGAAGATAGGCTAAAGTAAATAAGCATCACATCAAAAACAAGTCATCAGCAAAGAACGTGTTTAACCCTTGAAAAGCTGCAGAAATCTTGATGTATTCAGATGCCCAATGTAAAATGCCTTCATTTTAAAATGAGTTTTTAAAAATAAATTCAGTATATATATCCTGCCATCTAAACAGAAGGATGAACCCAAGGTGCAAACAGACCAAATCTTAAATGGGACTAAAGAAATAATATGTTACAAATAAATTTGATAAAATAAAAAATATAAAGAAAACATACCAAAATACCAAGCTTACATAAAGTTGCAACTTCTCTCATATCCCTAAATGGCTTCAGCAGATACTGGAAGAACATAGTTGCCCCAGTAACTAATTCCTGGTATGCTTCATCTTCCTCTCGATAAACATTCATTAGTGCTACCATGGTGTGGGCTTTATCGTGCCCCTGAAGAACCTAGAAGACAGAATGTAAGTAGAGCTCAAGTAAGGACAGATTTATAAGATCATACCAAACAAGTAAAACTAAAGAAACTTTAATGCCCTAAACTTTAATATTTAAAATACTGATTAAATTTAAAAATGCTATTGTCCTCCAACCAAAAGGCTCAGTAAAACACGAATGGTTAAATTAAATCATGCTATATCCATGGTAGAATGTTATTGCTGTAATCATTCAATGGTGTGACACCCCTAACAAACTCCTTTTATAAAGCCATTTTAATTTAAAAATCTCATTCTATATGCAGTTTAAGACGATGTAATTAAGATTTTGAAATGTGGCTGAATTCTCCCACACCCCCCCGCCTTCCTCAAAAGAATGCACAGAAAAATCATCCAGATTAAGAAGGGCCTACAATGAGAATGAGCAAGCTAGAAGACATGTCCAGGGTGTTAGAGCACTAAATCTTGGCCACCCGTCGTAAATTGTGGATACACACGCCGTATTTTTTCTCCCAAACCCTTCTGTGAACTTGCGTTCCCCCTCCCCTTAAATTCTGTAAGTTTATCACTCAAAGAATGAATTGTTCGGCGTCCCCCATGACCTCTTTTAAGCTTAAAATCGCACTCCTGTTGCTATTCCAAATCGATAAATAAAGCTCCGCCCCGTCGGCTTTCCATCTGACCGAGTCTGCGTTACCTTTCCAAACCTGTCTCCTAGAGGCCCCTTCATCTTCTAAAGCAGTGGTCGCCACTGTTCCCGTCCCCGCATGCGCAGAACCGGGAAGTGTTTACATCTAGTCTGTGGTGGTGTTTCCCACCTGTATTACAGCTGTTTCCGGTTCTGCTTTCGCTATTCTCTGGCAAATCCTGTTAGGACAGCCGGCTCTGCCAGCGTCTTCAGAGAAAGGGGTCGGGGGCAGGCTCCAGACGGAGAAGGCACGCCGACCCGCCTGAGCACGCCCCCCCTCCTCCGTCCCCAGCTCCCCCACAGGTGACAGGCACCTGTGCACCTGCGCGCGCCCTGCCCTGTCCACGCCCACCGTCGCCCGGCCGGCCGGCAGCCGGGCTCTCGGAAACACTGCACACCCACCCACCCACATAGCGCCCGCACCATTGCGGCGGCCCGGGCCCAGCCAGGCGGAGGGGGGCCGGCGCGTACCTGGCGCAGCCGCGCGCCCGCCGCGGTCCACCGCGCGCGCAGGGCCCTCTCCCGGAAGTCGCGCAGGCTCTCGCAGTCGGGCGCGCCGCCGTCGGCGGGGAAGAGCGCGTCGCGCACCGCTGCGCCGCCGCAGCCGCTCGCAGCGTCGCCCAGGTAGCGCTCCAGGCGCCCGCACAGCTCCTGCAGCGCCGCGTCCCCGAGGCCCGTGCGCGCCGGCCACACCAGCGCCCACAGCCCGAGCCCCAGGCCCCAGGCCCCGCCGGCGCGTGCGTCCAGCTCCGGCGGCAGCGGCGGGAAGCAGCTCTCCAGCGGCGGCCACAGCGCCGCCAGCTGCCGGTGAGCGCCGCGGAGCCCGGCGGCAGAGAGCAGGCCCGCCCAGCTGGGAGGGGACGTGGCCGGCTCGGGCTCGGGCCGGCTCCCCTCGCGCCGCCGCCGCTGCGCCGTGCGGTCGTGACAGGTCACCGCGAACTTGCCCTCCGCGTCGTTCCAGGCCACGAGGAAGCGCAGCTGGTGCCGCTCGGGCTCGGCGAAGAGGTCCTCGCGGACCGGCACCCAGCCCTCCAAGCTGTCGGGCTGCTCGTCCTCCATGGCCTGCGGCTCAGCGGCCCGCGGACCTGGCTCGCGCGCGCCTGGCCTCTCCGCACCCCCAGGGGCGGGTGGCGGACCGCGACATTCTGGCTGGACTGCGCTCGCGTCAGAGCCCGTCGGGCTCACCCCCGCCCCCCGGCGCCTCTGATTGGCTGTCAGCGTGTGGGCGGGTTCTCGGCAGCCAATGAGAACGTCAGAAGTCTGTCTCCGTCCGGGCCCTGGGAAGCAGTCCTTGTCGCAACCCTGTCTCTGAGTCGGAGAACTTACACTCTTGCCTCACCTTTTCCACCTTTGTACCTACTGATGTAGGAAAAGTGTTCCTTACATGAACGAGTTATCGTCTTAGCCTCCTGCGCTAAACTGCGAAACTCCTGAGAACCGGGGCCGGCTGATTCGGTCCTTGCTCACTAGGGCGCCCGTGGATACCGGAGGGTTCCTGCGCCCAGGGACGGTGCAAACTAGCTGGAGACCAAACGTTAAATCAAACGTAGGAGTTATTGGCTGAGGGCCTCTAAGCGCCAACCACTGGGTAAAAGCCACGCATCTGTTGTTACCGATTCAGCAAGCTTTCATGGAGTGTCTACTGTGTCCAGGTCTGGGGGCGTACATAAAAGATGTCTCTCTGTCCTCAAAGCATCCCAGGTCCCAGACCGGATGTTTACATACAGTGTGTTCCTACCCTTCTTTTTACAGCCAAGCAGACGGAGACCCACAAAGAACCTTGCCCTAACATACGCACGCAGGCTAAGAAGACCACATGGCTCCCCAAGACCTGTTGAAGGAGATGGGGAAATCTAATTTGCACGTGGGGGTGGGATGTGACTTAGAGGGTTACTAAGACAGCCGTGGTCTGTGTGCGGGAAAGGCACCGTGCGCACCCGGAAACAGTGCAGGTCAGCTTCTGTCTTGTGAGTGCATGGGGTGGGGAGGCTGTCCAGGGAAGGGAGGTGGGGGGAGATGCCCCGAAAGCCCGGAGGAGGAGCCCTTCCCCGAGTCTGGGCTCCAGAGGGTTAGATTCAGGAACCGGTGAAAGCTTTTGAAGGTTTGGAACTGGGGAAGCCGGAAATCAGCTTCGCCGTTGCTGTTACGCCCAAAGGAAAACAACAAGAAACCAGGGCCAGCCTGGTGCAATGCTTAGGGCATCTGTCTCCACTGAAGATGATCCCTGGGTATCTAGAAACCTCTGTGGAATGTAGCTTTGAGATCTAAAGTTGCTTGTCTCGGCTCCCCCCACCCCCTTTAATGCCTGTGTGGGGCTATGGGGCCTTGGACTCAGAACTGCTGCCCTTGGCAGTCCTCTTGGAGAGAGAACCTGTTAGTTGAAGGGATTTATTTTTCCTTGAACCATTTTTTAATATATTATCTTAGCTCATGTGATTTACTGATAATTCTTTAAGTCTGTTTTAATATCTTTTTTGTATATTTTTTATAGTATATCTTTTTACTGTATTTGTTTTGTATTATTTTATCCTTTTTAGTAGTCTTTCTAACTTATTTGCCTTATCAAAATGACACTAGCTGGGACGCCTGGGTGGCTCAGTTGGTGAAGGGTCTGTCTTTGGCTCAGGTGGTGATGTCAAGGGCCTGGGATTCAGTCCTGCACTGGGTTCCTTGCTCAGCTGGAGCCTGCTTCTCCCTCAGCCCCTCCCCTGCTTGTGCTCATGCACTCTCTCTCTCTGACAAATAAATAAATAAAATCTTTTTTAAACAATGACACTAGCAGGCTTTCTAATTATAAAAGTAATTTCTATTTTTGTGTGAGGGAAGGATGTTTGTACATTCTTAGAAAAAAATAAGGGCAAGGACCCACCAAACCTAATAATTGTTGTTACCAGCATACATGCCTGCTTTATATTCACTTTATGGTTCTTGGGTAATATTGGCCTTTTTCTAAGCCAAATACCATATATTATTTTTCAATAAAAATATTTTTAAAAATTAATAAGAGGTGTATATATAATTGCTATTAAAATAGGTACCATCAAAGATGTAAAGAAAAAAATAAAATAACTCAAAAGAGTTAAACTGTGCTCTCACTTTATGTGTACTATTATATACAATATCATATATTATTGTATATTTGTATTATACATTATACTATATATTATATGTTTATATTATATATTATGTTATATATAATATGTTTATATACCTATGTTATGTATTTATTTTCTAACATATATATGATTATGCTGTAATGATATTTTACACTCTTTTTTTTTTAAGATTTTATTTATTTATTTGACAGAGAGAGACACAGCGAGAGAAGGAACACAAGCAGGGGGAGTGGGAGTGGGAGAAGCAGGCTTCCCACAGAGCAGGGAGCCCGATGCGGGGCTCCATCCCAGGACCCTGGGGATCATGACCTGAGCTGAAGGCAGATGCTTAACAACTGAGGCACCCAGGCGCCCCTTACACTCTTTTTCTACTTAGAGATATATCGTTGGTCTTTTCCACATAAAAGATAGACATCTACATGATTATTTTAATACTTGCCAATATTGAGTTGACTGTATTGTGATTTAACAAATTCTATATCGATAGACATAGATTAATCTCTATTTTCTGCAAACATACATAATGCTGTGGTGAACATTCTTGTACATACCTCTTTGCATAAATTTTTTCTTACAATTTTTTTGCTTTTGATATTTTATTGTGCCTCTAATATTTTTATTTTATAGATACCTGGCAGCAATGATATTTTTCAAACGACATTTTGATTGAGATTTAAAAAGCAATGGATGTAAAACTCTGAGATCAAATCACCACAAGCAAACTTTTCAAGGGAACGGTCCAGAACCCAATTCATGCTCTCAGGAGGGAAAGTGGTGGAGCAGTTTCTCTGGAGAACACTCGTTGGGTACGGGGATGGTTGGAAGTCCTGTCCTCTACCCCCAAGCCCAGTGAGGGATCTTCAAAGGGACCCTTCTTCAGAGAGCTTGCTGTATCTCCTGCAGATGGGCCAATGGTGGCCTGAGGCGAGTGGATTGGCTGCTTTGATGGCAGAGCCAGGGGAGGTGGCTGCATTGGGTCTGACTGTCTCCCAGAGTTTGCAGGGACCAAGAATGGGTCTGCCTCTTGAGCCAGCAGAATGACAGAGTCAGCAAGGAATTGTCAGAGCCTGCCTAAGAGAGTCAACAGCATGGGTAAGGAGACCTCATTTGAGTGATCGTGAAGGTGGTCCAGCAGGGCCTAGAAGGGGAATGCGAGGGACCCCCTGGAAGAAAAAGGTTCTCAGCCTTGTGGGAACTCAAGGGAAAGGTCTCCATAATGGGAAACGCCAGAGATGTACAAAAACTCCCCAGGAGAGAAGGAGAGAGACAAAGAGGGAAGGAGGGTGCACGATAGAGAGCTCTAAGCACCTACCAGCCCAGAGCCTGAAGCTAGCACCCACTGTGGCATCAACTCCATTAGGAGCTGTCTTATCACCTTGGTGCCTCCCGCCCTGGCATTCCACCAGCAGCTCAGGGAGGAGGTGTGGGGAGAAGAGACCAACCTCATTCCTCCTTTCCCAGGGCAGACTTCCAGCTAAAGAGGCCCAGGCTGGGTAGGGGAGAAGATTTTGATACTGGCTAAGCTAAGTTTGACTTTTGCGTTAATATTCTGGACGGTACCTTCAGTTACTGAATGGAGACTATGCCTTCAAATGACCCTAGGACTGAATGTCACCTAAGAGGGAGCAGAAAGTCATGGGTGTGTTGGTTTTCTTTCTCTCTTTTTTTTTTTTTTTTTTTTTTTTTTTTTTTTATCCAGAGAGGGGAATGATTCCCACAGTGAGTACATGTGAAAGGAATGGTGGAAGAAAAAAACAAATGAAGTTGCATTTGATTACTTTCAGAACTGTGCTTGTTCAAAACAATTTGAGAAAAGACCATGGGCGTAGGTGGAAGCTGTCCAGCCCGGGGACTCTCAGAAGCCTTCACTCTCTGCATGGGCTGCATGGCCTCCAGCCCTCTGCACACGACTGGCCCTCCGAGCAGCGCCGTGGAGCTATGGGGCCTCAAATCCAAGTAAATGAAGAAACTCTGGGGACAGCATGTGACCCCTCCTGGTGACACTTGAGCAGTAAGAAGTGCAAGACAGCCTAGGCAGGTCTATATTTGGGCTTTCACACATGGCAGGCCTGTTGCTATTTGCAGCGGGAGCCGGCTCATGTTACCATCACCTTCCGCGCCCCAGGGGCAGAGCCCCTGCTGTAAGCCAGGCAGGGGCAGCCTTTGGGCCTCGCACAGGTAGCCCGGAAGGAAATCCTCTGTTTCCTAGCCCTTCTCCAGAGGCCTCGGAGGTAAAAGAAGAACCTGTGGACCCTTAAATCAGCAGGCAAGTTTTTGGGTAATCCTATTCTAATGCAAAGGGTATTACTAGAAGCTCAGTTACTTAATGCCACAATGTTAATGCAATATCGTTCCTTTAGGGAAAGAGATATCATCTTAAATTGCGGACTTGTAAATGGCAGTCAACAGTGGGGATGCTTTCTGTGCTTTCCCGTAGCGTGGACTCGCCTTGACTGAATGTGGTGTTGGTACAGAGTGTGAAAGCCTCCCGGCAGATCGAGAGAGGCTGGCTGACGATTTCTCGCAATGTGCCCTTAGAGTATTTTTAGTGCAGGGGCCCAATTGCTAGAACTGTTTGGAACCCTATATAGTGTTATCCTCTGGCTGCGGTGGCGGGCTGATAAACACATTTTATTTTAATCTGCATGTGTGTCCCGAAAAATCATAATTTCATGTTTTGATTGAAATATGGAAAAACAGGATTATAGGCATTTTTCACCTGTTATACAAACCCCTCCTCCCACAGAAAGCTTTCAGGTTTGGACTTTGTAAAGGTGATTTGAGCTATTTTGCGTCACTATACAGCCAACACTTTAAAGCAAGTTTCTTTAGCTGTGGCTCAGGAATTGCAAAAGGCTACATGGGTGAGCTTCTGAAATTACAGGCAAAACTATGTTTGTGTGCTTATGGGCTAGAGAATTCACAGCTTTCAGTAGATTCCCA